CCTTCATGCATGTTTGGTAAAGGTCCAACCTGCAAGAGATAAAATTGTGTTTGAGGACTCCAGGAAAGATTTCTGTTCTCGGGTAGCTTTGCAGTCCCAGGGGAGTCTCCTGCATTTCTTTTCCCTTCTTGGTTTGGTTTCCAGGGAGCTTAGAGATAAAGTTCATACTCAAAACTTAATGTTCATTCCTGGTTCGGACACAGTGCTAATTCAGCCATGCCCATTAGGGCCTCTCCGTTAGACTGCTGTGTCCATGTGGACATGAGAGAGAGATGGGAAAATGAAAGGTGTCGTGCTCCTAATCATCATAGGTGGCAGAATGTGATAAGTGGCCTATGAAAGACAAATGATTTGCTCTGGAAGGTCAGACAGTGGGAGGAACAGGGCGTTTGGCTCTGATGTCTAGAGAGGTTTCCTGGAGCAGGTGGGAGCCTTCCTTACTGCCCCCTGAGGTGCTCTGGGAAGTGAAGCCTCCACATGTGGTGGCAGGTAGAAACCTTTGTCATAGTGAAGGCGTAGGGGAGAAGCTGGTGCCCCACTGAATGACCAGTTTATAGATGTTAAGAAAGACCCCCTGCTCAGAACCCAAGTGACTTGAGATTCCATTTCTCCAGCTCTCTGCTCCTCTCCACACAGGCTCCCTGGAACACCACAGGGGTCTTTGTAGATGACTCTCAGGCCCACAGGGGACAGATCAGCCTAGGGGTTCTGCCATTTGCCTATCTTTCCATCCAGGTCCATCCTCACCTGGAAACCCACATTTCAGCCTCTCATGACCTGGCTGGATGTGCACTGGACACAGCTCTCAAAATGATAGTTCCGGAAAACTGGCCATAATGGTTCAGAAACGGCACATATTTCCTTAGATTCTGATTCCACTTTGCAGACAGATCTTCAAACTCCGTTGAGTTTCCATGGTCCTGCCCCTCCACGTGAGATCTAGCAGGTTACATATTTCATGAACAAGTAGCAGACGTTCCTTTGGTATGTTCTACTTGAGTTTGCAGTATTTACCCTGTCCAGCACACAGTACATCTAACTCATAAGCTGTGCAATAGAAGTCCTTGCCTTGGAATTATGTAAAACCTGGAGGAACCTGGTGGAACCCTGCGCCTGCGGTTCGGTGGATGATGCTGTAGCAGGGACAGCGTCCTAGTTCCGCTGCTGGGCTGGTTATGTAAGATGTTCTCACTGGGAAAGCTGGGTGAAGAGTACACAGGAACAGGCTGTCCTCCGTTTGCAAATTCTTTTGAGTCTTAAATGATTTCAAAATAAAAAGTTGTGTTTTTTTTTTTTTTAAATATCAAGACAGAATCTAGGAAGCTATCTAGTGTAGTTGTTTTCAACTTTAATTTTAGCAGCAGTCTCCCTGTCTTGCCCAACTCTTCCATCCCCACCCTCAGCAACTCCAGGCTTCTCCTGACATCCAAAGGGCTCTGCGAAATCCCATTTTTAAAACACCATTCCCAGCCCACCCCTTCAGGGACCAAAGAAGTAAAAGGAGTCACTTCTTTGGCATCTGTTAGATGGAACACAGAGAACCTGGGAGGTTTGCAGTTCCAGTTGGTCTCTGCAGAGTGGCGTGAGTCATAGCTCTCGAGCCAGCTCTGTGGTTTCTTTTGTCCGATGAGGTGCGATGAATTAGGTTGGAGAAGAGTTTCCATGGTCCTGCCTTCCGCGCCTGTGGTGCGGGAGATGGAGTCATTCTCATGGTTGAGACAGGGCATGGGGCAGTCTGGGCTGGAGGCAGTTCACAATTTACCACTCGGGACGATTGCCAAGCAGACTTCCTCAGAAGGCCAGGCACAGGGCGGAGGGAAGGGGAACACGGGACCCAAGAAGTCCCCTGGCTCCTGCCTGCTCAGCCTCCGCTCTGACCACCCGTGAGAACTGACACTGGCTTGCTTTCCTCTTCCTTCCCTTCAAGCCCAAGTCACAAAATACTTTGGGCAGACATTGGGCACCTCGAAGTTTACATCCAATATAATGATGATCTCTTTATTTGTCCAGAAATTTTGCAAAACCTTCCTCCTGTGTTCCCTCCGTTGAGCCTCACCGTCAGCCCATGACACAGGTGGATCAGTTTCACTTTGGCTCTATGCATATGCAAGGAGACTTTTCCAAGGTCGCAGAACTTGTGCCAGGGCTGGAGTCAGAATCCTGGTACATATCCTCTTTAGAAGAAACTCTCATTCCAAACAGAGACCTCGGCTGTTGGAAAGTATCTGCTCACACTGGAGGGCCCCCCAGCGCATGGTGGCAGTCACTGTTGTAATTCATGCCACACTCAAAGCGGGAAGGACTCCAGGACTTGGTGGCTCAGGTGGAAGCCAAGGTTTTCTCTCTTCCTATACCTCCCAACCATTAGAGCCCGAAGACGCCATGTGGGTGTCAGATGAGGAGGATTTAGGTTTTCTTGAAAAGTGAAGCACATTGCCTGCGTGCCTCTCCAGGAGCCACGAGAGAATCTTTGTGACAGTCCACTGGCAGGACGGCCACCCTGGAGCTACCGGCACACACATACTGCAGAGGGCTCTGTGTGAGCTGCCACCCTTCGTTCCCCGCCACTTGTTGATGCTTGTTTCTGTGGGGAGTGGCTCTCCCACTCCCTCAGCCTCCTCTTTGCCTTCCACAATGGAGGACACAACCTCGACCGTCAGCTTGGGTACCACTAATTGGCGCTGACACTAGACTGTTCCTTCAACATTCTGCTTGTGTCCTGGGAAACTGGGGGGTATCTTTAATGGTGGGAACTAGGGCTGTATTCACAGCTACCACTTGCCTAGGAAAAATAACCTCTGAAGAAGGATGTTGACATATATATATATATACACACACACACACACACACACACACACACACACATATATATATATATGTGTGTGTGTAATATATATATATTGAGAGAGAGCCATTTAGAAGGTAAACTAGTGACCTGCTTCACGAATATGGTTAATCATTTACACATGTATTCAGCTAGTACCTGTGAGGCACTTGCTAAATATCTGTCGAATGACCTTCTAAGTGCTGGTTCTCAGTCTTTAGCACGACTTTGAGCCTCAGCATCACCTGTGGTGCCTGCCAAAGCACAGACCAGCCCTCCCCTGAAGCTTCTGATTCAGTTGTTCTGGGGAGAAGGTAAGTAATTTGCATTTCTAACAAGTTCCAGGAGATGGGATGCTGGGCTAGAATTTGTGCTGGGGCTGGGGTCAGCAGGCATGTCAAACCATCGTCTTAAAGCTGGGATTGACAAGCTTCCTGAAAAAGCCAGACAGCAGATATTTTAGAATCTGTGGCTGGTACAGTCTCTGTCATAACTACTCTGCCATCTTAACCACAGAAAATATGTAACTAAATGAGCATGGCTGTGTTCCAGTAAAATACTACTTATAAAAATGAATGGTAAATTTATTTTTTTTAAAAATGTGTTGCAAATTTAAAAAAAAAAAAAGTGCCAGATTCTCATTGTTGAATATTTTTAGGATGACGGTCAGATGGTGGTCAAACCCTAGCTCTGACATTCATGAGCCATGTGACTTTGTAACAGTAATTAATATCTCTGTAAAATGAGGGCAATAATTATGCAGAGAAAAATAGGGGAAAAGCACTCACTTTTTTAATACCTTTATTTTATTTATTTATTTATTCATATGTAGTGCTGAGGATGGAACCCAGTGCCTTACATGTGCTAGGCGAGTGCTGTACTGCTGAGCCACCACCCCAGCCCCAAGTACTCGCTTTAATCACATCTAGGTGTGCATCCCTGTGTGGTTTGGTATTCTTTAGGCTTTTCTGCACAATGATGTCTTCCAGGATTTTCCAATCTATGTCTTTAAAAAGGAATCTTAATCACCCATTGACACATACTAGGCTTACCCTGAAATCGCCTTTGGAATTTTAGTAGCTTGGCGATCCTTAGAAAGTCGAAAGCCAAGAATGTCCTTCTTCATGTCTCTGTGTATTAAAGAAGAAATTGACCTTGACATGTGTAAAAAGAAGCTCTTGATCTGCTCTGTCCCAAACCCTGCCCTCTGCAGTCTTAATTCAGTGGGTGCCAGTGCTGTCTGTAGAGCGCCTCAATCCACAAAGAGAGACTGGGGAGGAAGCATTTAGAGAGTTAATGAGCGGGTCCCAAAGGTGCATGTTGAATATGGAATTGGTTTGTAATTCAAATAGAGCATAAATTTCTTTCTGCTCAGCCTCTTCTTTCCCGCATTAGTAAATGGAAACTTCTTCCGAAGAGGCCTGAAGCTCACCTGTTCTAGGCACAAGGCTCTCCCCAGGCTTGAGGCAGTCTTCCAAGCATCTTATGCAGATTGGTTTCTTTTGTCTTCATAACAACCCTGGAGAAAATAGGTGCTGTTAATCCCCCAGTAGGCAGATAAGGGGGATTGACCACAAGTGACTTGACCACAGCCATACCTCTGGAAAGAGCAGAGCCCTCTTGAACCACTTCCCATGGTAGGAGGGAGTAAAATGCAGTGGCCCTAGGGACGAGTCATCTTAGTGCATTTTTAGGGCTCTCCCTACCCCATTGGAGTTCCCCCATGCAGATGTGTGTAAACTGTGGAGAGATGGTGTCCAAGCAGGAAGAGGTCCCCATTGGTTATAGCATGTACCTGGTTCACAGGGTGATGTTTTTATGGAAACCTCATACAGGAGATTTCCTGAAGGGCCCTTTGGTTCCATTTCACAAACACGCCTCGTGACCCTGTTAAGGGTCTGTGCTGTACCTTAGCCTGTGCTAGGTGCTATGGAGACAGACATACCGAATTCTTTAAACCAGTGCACTTGCCCTACGGTCTTTGATAACACTAAGTGGAAGCCATAATTTGGGGGGAAAACCTTGGTGAGTACAAATCATACCCTGAAAACATGGTAATTGTTACATTAAAACATGATGCGGCAAAATGCCACCACCACCCGTTGCGTAACTCCAAAGAATGGCACCTCGTCTGTTGTGCTAGAAAGGATTGATGATGTGCTTCTTCTCTCCGCAGGACCCCAGGAGCAAGCACAAGTTTAAAATCCACACTTATGGGAGCCCCACCTTCTGTGATCACTGTGGGTCGCTGCTGTATGGACTTATCCACCAAGGGATGAAATGTGACAGTAAGTAAGTTTTTCTTTTCCAGTAGATGGTGAGATGCTGTGGCTCGTACCCAAAGTTTACTGAGCACGGGAGGTCCGGTAACTTCTCAGTGCCAGCTCGTCAATAAGGAGAATTAGTTCATATAAAGAGCTGGCTGGAAATGTGTAGAAGCTCGCCACTGTCCAAGTTCTACTTATTTGCCTAATTATGAACCAAAAAAAAAAAAGTGCACTTGGTTTATAAATGAAGTTAGTAGGTGCCGTCACCTCTTTTTCTTTTTTTAAAGGAATAGGAGTCTTCAGTCCTTGTAAAATGCAGGCTAGTCAAACCCCAAAGAAGGCTCCCCACCTCCAGATTCCACTTTTGGGTAGGCTTCAAAATAAGCTAAGCAACCACAGTCATTATCTTCCTCTGTCTCTAATTAGTGGGTGGACGATGGAAAAATCCAGTAGGCTCTCCTTAAAACCGAAGCCAGAATGAACATAAAAACCAAGATAGCATCTCTCTTAAGTTCACCCACCCTGCCTGTTTATGAACAGATCAAATTTATATCAGTCCAGTTCAAGATAAAATCATTGAGCGGCACTGACGCAGAAGACAGATCCCAGGCCCTTCTCCTCTCTGGTCTCGGATAGTTCTCTGTCAAATACCAGGAGGAAAGAAGAACAGCTATGGAAACTCTTTGCTTTGATGATTTTTAAATTATGAGATTCCCCAGGATGTTTGTTTAAATAAAAGTTAATGCTTTTAGGACATAAAAAGGCAATTATGAGTTCCATTTTTCTAATAGGCAAATGTTATGGAAATTTCAGCACATTCTCATTTGCTAATGACCACTGTAATGGCCCAAAGTTTTGTATTTGTATCCCACATGGAGCAAACACAATATTGAAAAAAAATAAATATTCAGAACACTATAGAGTACATGGAATGTGGGGTGGGAGGTATTTGCTTTCTGAAGTGGTCCAATTTAACAGCCTAATGAAGGTTCTGTGATCATCCAGACCAGAGGCCTTCCATGCTTCAAGAATTGCTAGGTTTGGGCTTTGGTTGTGGCTCAGTGGTAGCCCTTGCCTAGCATGTATGAGGCACTGGGTTTGATCTTCAGCACCACATAAAAATAAATAAATGAAATAAAGATATTGTGTCCATCTACACCTAAAAAAAATTAGGAGGAAAAAACTCTAGGATTCCAAAGATGGGTTTGAAGGATTTTGCAAGCAGTAATTCTAAGTGCATTTATAAATATATGTTTAACTATTTTAAAACTTGGAACAAAAATAAACAGAGAGACACTGGAGAGCTTGTGTTGATGACCTCATTCATGGGACGGAACTTGGCAATCAGCTGAAGAGTCTAAGGGTTGGCATGGCGTGCCACTCAGCACTTTCCCATGTACATGTTCTCTTCTGTATGAATGAGGGTTTATAGGTGCTGTACAACTTTGATTAAATACAGAAATGTCATGTTGAGGTCTCTCTGAGATACTCCCTAGTCCATTTTCTGTTGCTAAAACAAAATACCTGAGACTGGTCATTTACAAAGAATAGAGGCTTATTTGGCTCCTGCGTCTGGAGGCCAGGACACCCAGGAGCTTGGTGGCAGCATCAGCTCAGCATCTGATGAGGGGCCTGCCTCTTGCTGCGTCACAGCTTGGTAGAAGGCTCCTGTGGAGAGACAGAGCAAGCTGCTAGCTCAGATCTCTCTCCCCGTCTTATGCAGCCACTAATGCATTCTGGGGGCCCCACCCTCATAACTTCAGCTACTGATTCTCTCTTGAACATTGAGTCATCATTAAGATGACTCTGGGGGTGACATGTCCAACATATGAACTTTTGGGGACACATTCAAACTATAGCGGCATCACCCAGTATTCCCAACAGCTGGTTTTAGGGTTTTGTTTGGATAAAAGGGCTTTATTGGTTATCCTTGAATGTCTTTATAACAAGTAAGTGGTATAAATTTGAATTTATTTACTGCATGTCTGCTAATAGCACCCATCTGGTATACTTGTTAGGATTTAGGATTCAGCTTTAGATTTTGCTTGAAAAACACATTCCATTACTAAAAAATAACTGGAAACCACTGACCCGGATCGGTGCTTCTTTGTTTTGCTTTAAACCCTTTCCCCTGGACTTGCAGAGTTTCTGGGGATCCTTCCTGGAGGGAGGAGAAGGAGGAGGTGGGCACCACGACCCAGCCCCTCCCTTGACTTCTGCAGACTCAGTCTCTCCCCACGCCCGGACCCTTGCTCCTGCTCCTCGTACCGTATAGTCCTGTGTCCAGGTCCACTGGTGGGGAAAGTTAGCTACCACTCATCTAGACCAACTTCTTTGTTTGCTGAGTAGGGAATGGAATGAGAGACAGCAAATAAACTTCACAAGGTAGAAAAGCCAGTTTGAGCCGGGTGTGTTGGCACACACCTGTAATCCCAGCAACTGGGGAGGCTGAGGCAGGAGGATCACAAATTCAAGAAGGCCAGCCTCAGCAACTTAGTAAGACCCTAAGCAACTGAGTGAGTCTCTGTCTCAAAATAAAAACATAAAAAGGGCTGAGTGATAAAGTACCCCTGGGTTCAATCCCCAATACCAAAAAGAAAGAAAGAAAAGAAAAGCCAGTTCAAGGTAGAGCCAAGACAGGAACACACCCATGCACTTTCCCCTTGCACACCCTCCCTGCTGCCCATATTCTTTCCAAAGCCTCTCTCGTTTATTTTCTTTAAATTGCCACTTCTGCCCAGGCACTTGAACATATGACGTTGTCAACTCAAGTTATATTAATAACACGACTTTTCAAGAGCCTGTGTATTGGCTGGGCGCAGGCACAGGATCTGGAAGAGTTAGCTTCGGAAATAGAAGCCTCACAGAATCCGCTCTCGTGAATCAACTAATTGTTCTTTCCTCGTTGTGTCCCTTATTCTGATTTCCGTGTTTAATCATAGCAAATATGCATTATTCATGACGCTTTGCCTCAGTTTGATTTGCATGTTAAAATTAAACACTGGATAGGAAAGGGCTTGGGGGGCCCCACCTTGGAGGCTACAGCACAGTCTCACTGTCTTCCCTTGGGGAGTTGCGAGGGATCCAGTGCCACCCCTAACCTCGGCAGGAAGGCACCAGGGCAGAGAGCTGGACCACCTCCCCAGCCTCACAGCGGTAGCTGGTGCACTGGGGTTTTTTCAGGGCCTCTTTAGTTCATTGCCATAAGACTGATCTCCTTTTATCCTCCCCCTGTCTCACCCACATCATGTCAGCTGTGTGGCTTATGCCAGGAGTGTATTTGTTGTACTTGGAATAATATTTAAATGTTTGAAGACAGGTTTAAAATATCAAACACAATTTCTTGGAAAAAAAAAAACAAGAAGAAAGGAAAAAAACCCACAAAGACAACATACATACACCTTCTTTAACATAGAAGGTTACTTGAGGAAAAGAGAAATTTCCGAATTTCCCGTCCTCAACCCACAGATTGTCACTTTCTCAGTGTGGAGCTCAGAAAGGCAGAAGGAATTCTTTGGCAAAAAGTATCCTCTATTTAAAATTTGCATATTATATGCCTGTGTGTACATAAGGTATTAATTAGCCTGAGCTCTGGGCACACTCACCTGCGTGGATTTTGTTAAACGTTTGGAGCCGTCACAGAACACCAGGCTGGGGTATTTTGCTTCTGTGAAGTCTGAGTAAATATGGAATGGGTATTTTAAGGATATTGTCACTCACACAAAGCCCATACTGGAAAGGACATCTGCTAACAGTTCTTCATGTCACCAACAACATTATAGCGAAGTATCGAGTCAGGGGTAGCTCCTTCCCACTTCTGCTCAGACACCAAAACACAGAGGAAGCCATATGAGCCATATGGCCAGCCTTACCCTTTGCTTTCTTGATTCACAGCCTGCGACATGAACGTCCACAAGCAGTGTGTGATCAACGTCCCCAGCCTCTGCGGCATGGATCACACAGAGAAGAGGGGGCGGATTTACCTGAAGGCAGAGGTCACCGATGAAAAGCTCCATGTCACAGGTAAGGCATGGTGGTCCAGGAGCAGCACTTGTGGTGAGAGAAGGTCAAGGTGATGCCAAGGCAGGGTGGGGGCTGGGCCCGTAGCATTAGCCTGGAATCATCAGCATCTAGAGCCCTGCAGACTCAAGTTAACACACGTCTCAGAAGACTGGTCAGTATACCCCAATTCCTGAATAGTAGTAAATGTCATATAAAGTTACAGCCACCATGTAAATAAAAATAAATAAAAGGTATTGTGTCCATCTACAACTGAAAAAAAAACTAAAGAAATAAAAAGGAAGGAGAGAAAGTTCTAGAAACAGTTTACTTTGGAAAACATCCTCACTTTTTTTTTTTTCCCTTTGGAAAATAAGCATATTTCTACACCTGTAGGTCTACATTACTGCTCTCAGATAAGAATGCAGGGAAATCAAGCAAAAGATCTTGAGGTATTACAAGGAGAGAGACCATAGCTGCTTCTGGATGACCTCATGGGACAGAACTACTGTAGCCAACAGTCAAGAAGGAATTGTGAATTAGGTGAAATTCCTCATAGACCCAGGCCCCGCTTTGTCTTTTGTGTTTTAGAGAAGCTTCTTCATTTTCTGCACACCATTCTGGTTGCATCCTTGCACTGGGGGAGGTGGGGGGTGGGAGCTGCTCAGCTCATGGCAGCTAAGAAGCAGAGAGAGAAAATGGAAGGGGTTGGGGACAAGATACAACCTTCAAAGTCACACCCTCAGCGACCTACCTTCTGCAACCGTGCCCCACCTGCCTAGTTTCCACCACCTCCCCGTAGTCCATTCAAATGATTAATCCATCAAATGGATTAATCCACTCATGAGGTCAGAGCCCTCATGCTTCAGTCATTTCCCAAAAGCCCCATCTCTGGACATTGCCCTGGGGACCGAGCCTTCAACACATGAGCTTTGGAGGGACATTCCAGATCCAAACCATAACAGCCCCTCTGACCCCGGCTCTCTGCCCAGAGGAAGTGGGGCCCCTTGGGGACCATGAGCTTGGCTTTGAGAACATTTGCAATGTCACAGGCTCACTCCTATTTCTCCCTCTTTTTCACTATGGCTCCTGCATGGTCAAAGCCAAGTGCTGTGGACAGGGAATATGCAGTTTAAGAGGAAATAACCATAGACCTGGTAGGTGGAAAGAGAGCATCTAGCAGGAGGCCTATAGGCTAAATATTGCCTGCATGTCCTCACCTTTTCCTCCATTCCCAAAGCTTCTGCTGTTGGCAGTAATGTAGACCTACAGGCGAATAATCAGAGTTTGATTATGGGGTTTACAGGCAACACTGTAGGACTTGCTATAAGGCAAGAATGCCTGGACAGTTTTCAGATGTTTAAGTGTCGTTCTTTGTGTTTCTGGATAAAGCAAAACATGTGCTGTGAATGCTGGATTTGACTGTGCCTTCTCCTCAAACAAAAGCAGCAACCACACCGTGCTGCCTGGTTCATCCAGTCTCTTCTGTAAGCCTCCAGAGTCTTGTAGAGATAAGTATGCACAGGGGCTCAGGTGCCCTGGCTGGGGTGGCACAGAGATGCAAGTGAAAGGTCAGGTCCCACCACACTGGGCTCATGTCCTGCTAATTACCCACCCACTGCCAGGAGCTAAGCTGGACTCACAGATGTAGAACCAGCTGAGGGGTTCATCTGTTTCACTGAGATGGACGGGATGTTTCATACGTGATAACCAACCAGCATAACTTATGGCAGCCAGCTAGATGGGGTCTCTTGAGAATTAGTTTAAAAATTTTTTTTGTATATATATAGTTCTACTCTAGGAATGAGAATGCAGAAGTAGTTCAATAATGAAAATGTCTTACTCCCTTTGGGCTGCCATAACAAATTACCTTATAGTGGACCATCTATAAATAATAGAAATTTATGTCTCATAGCTCGGGAGGGAGGCTGAGAAGTGCAGGATCAAGGCACCAACAGATTTCAGTGTCTGGCCAAGGCTTGCTCTCTGCTTGACAGGCAGCACCTCTCGCTGTATCCTCCCATGTAGAAGCGGGAGGAAGACAGTGCCCTCATGGCAGGAGGGCAAACATGCTCCCTTTGACTTCTTTTACAAGGGCAGTGATACCATTCACGAAGGTGGAGCCCTTGGGACGTGATCATTTCCCAAATACCCTCTCCTCTTAACATCATTGCGCTGGGGATTAAGTTTCAACATGTAAAATCGGGACAGACACCCATATTCAGACCATCACAAACAATAACAGCAGCAGCCCACACTATTGGGTGGTTTCCAGAAGAGGGCTGCTTCCTAAGCACTTTCCATGGCCAATTTATTTAAACATGTGAGCAACTTTGCTTTATGGTCTCACTTTATAGGTAAAGAATCCAGAAGCAAGGCAATATGCCCAAATGCAGACTGGGAAGAGAGAAGGAGATGGCTCCAGGTCACGGGTAGAAAGTGCTGGACAGAGTTCAAGTCCAGGTCTGCCCTTCTATGCCCAGACACTGAGCCAAACAAGTCTCTTTTCTTCAGTGAAGCCTCTTTTCGAGCAAATACTAAACCCATAAATATTTGCTAAAGCCTCTTCAGCACTCCAAAAGGTACTTCGAGTTTACAGAAAGTCTAAACATAGGACTTAAAGCCAGAGGAGAAAAGGTACTACATGAATGGATTACAGAACAGTCCAAGGCCAAGTGTAATTAAGTGCCACAGTATGTGGCCTCTAAATGGGACACCACTGCAGGATGCTCAGGATGGGGAGAGGCTAGGTAGGGAAAAGAGAGGCCCGTGGAGAAGAAGACCAAGGGCTGGAGACATTTGAGAAGGAGAGGGAAAGAGAGCTCCCGTTGAGAGATTGAATGGGATGCAGAATTAGCCGGGCTTTAATGAGAAGGCAAATATAAACAATAAGCCATAATGAGCAGAGCTTATGGCCCAAATGCAAGCAATTTCTTGGGGGAAAAAAATGCATTTAAACCTAAACCCTGGGCAGCTGTGTTAATTGCTAGATTAGCTCAGTCCCCATTTTACCTGTTTAGAATTGCTCAGGTTGAAAATAATTTCCAAAGTAACACAGAAACTCCCAGTGGGAGAGCTCTGCACTGAGATGGAAGGCACCCTTTTGAAATCAGAAGTGAATTTTCTTCCTGGATTAGCCTGTATTTATGGGAAAGGCCTCTACCTTCATAATGTATTTTTATTTTTTGCCTTTGGGCGATGGTGCTGATGTTATCAGAATAGTGTCACTCTTTTTTCCTCTGATAGGTAATTTTAATAGGTTTTCTACATTCTGGTATGCTATTTTATTTGGTTTGGAGAAGTGGTAAAAAAAAAATCCTCTTGGGAACCAATTTTCAATTTAATGTTGTAAGTAAATGGGAAAAATATCATGTGCTTTACAGCTGTTTCAGAAACACATCTCTCTCCCACAGATAGATTATTTCAAAGACGAGTCTAATTTTCGCAAATACTTCAGGTTGTTAATTTAGCATGGAGATTGAAGTTCTGACCCAAGTTCTCATGGGGAAGGGAGAATTTCCTCCTGGTCTTTGGCTGCTGCAGCATCCAGACCCCTCCTTCTGTCTACTTATCTAGGGCCTTGTGCAGCTCAGTGTTTGAGCCTCCCCTCCCCAGGGACTGAGACTCACCACCATGCTATTGTGATTAAAACAATAACATTCCTTCTGTGCTCTTCCAACCTCATCTGAGGGTGGTAACTGTAGAATCAAGGCAGTGAGATTTGTCTCTGAATAATAATTCATTCTTCAATTCATCCATGCATTATACATTTATCGAGCAAGTGTGTCTGACAAAGTGATTAAGACTCGGACTTGGGGATGGGGTTGTGGGACTTGGGGATGGTAGAGCGCTTGCCTGGCATGTGTGAGGCCCTGGGTTTGATTCTCAGCACCACATATAAATAAATGAAATGAAAACGTTGTGTCTATCTACAACTTTAAAAATATTAAAGAAAAAAAAAGACGTGGAGTTGGCTGTGGAACCTGTGTTCTTTGGAGGGAGGCTGTTGGACAGTGGGAGCTTGGGAGAAGGGGCCTCAACTATCTGAGGAAGCTGCAGATGCCTGGGAAGCGGCAGTGGAGCCAGGAAGACAGGGAGGAACAGGGCCTTCCAGGCAAAGATGCAGAGTGTTCGGGAAGCACGACTGCCCAGGATTTCAGGAATTTCTAGGGAGATATGGGGAGAGCTGGAGGAAAATTGTTTCCATTTTCATTCATTTGTTTTTGCTTTGTTGTGCTGGGATTGAACCCAGGACCTTGCACATGCCAGGCAAGCGCTCTGCCGCCGGGCTGCACCCCCATCCCCTCTTTCCATTTTCAAGGGGCTGGGAGTACAGTCTCCGCTGACGGATTGCACAGTCCTTGGGAGCCGTGTTGAACAGACTTTGAGTTCCATAGTCTTTCAGACAGGAGGATTTTAAGTTCCAGGTGGCTATATTTCCACTTGGCAGAGGGCCAGCCTCCCAGCCTGAACTACAGACTTCACCCCAGGGTCACAGCGACCATACACTCTCTGGTGACAGCAAGTGCAGCTTTGGTGACCTGTTTGCCTGGAAGCTTTGCACAGGTACCTTTCCCTCTGGTAGGCAGCATGGGGCTACCAGCAGGCAGGAGTTGGGCAGAGCTGTTTATTTGAGGGGAAAGGTATCACTTATCATTTCTATTAAATAAAACCTTGGCTATGGGCTTTGGAGCCAGATCAGGAACTCAGTGCAGCTGAAGAATCTGGTCCTTCAGGTTGGCTAGAGGGAGGGTGCCAGCGGCTTCTCCTCAGGTACCACCAGGTGCATTACTGGTGATGCTACATTGATCACCTTGCTGTGGTGTTCTATTGCAGCCCTTGACTGCAAAGGTATCTTTTTTATTTGTAACTAGTTACGGAGTCTCAGTGTTGTACTTGTGGCCCGGCAACCTTCCACCCAATGGAATGGACATCCATTGATGAATCCCATTTGATTTTTATTGATGATCACAAAATGTTCATTTTCTAATTCTGTATCCTCCAGGGTTCATTAGCTGGCATTC